TATATATATTATTGTTTTTTTTTTTTTTGCGTTAGTAACATTAGAAACTAAGACCTTGCAGGAACCACCGACTAGTCTACTTCTCACTTAGACGAAGTCAACTCTATTAAGTTTTTCAGTTTGTAAGATAATGCAAATTATACTTGTTGAAAGCAAAATGAGTGAAAACAACACTAATGATACATGTATTTATTTGATTTATGGAAATATCAAGAAGAAAAAAATAGAGTATACGTTTATTGCAGAAGTTAAAAATATTTCAGATAGAAGTTGTCCTCAAATTCTATGAAATACCAACTTCAAGATTTAGTATTGAGCTTTATCACATTCCCATTTCCATAAAAATTTAAGGTGTGCCTATTTGAATGCTATGAATGTTACTTAAAAACCCCACTTTCACTCTACGCTGTTTAGTATAGAGAGATATATGACATAATTGACATTATTTAAGTGAAGATTAAGAAGAACTAGTTAATGGTAATGGAAAAAAAATAACAATTAAAGTAAAAGAGATACATAAATGTATCTGGTATACGTACGTGTTAATTAAGCCATTAAATGAACTACCAATTTTTATTTTTTTTTATGTCATTCTCATTGGTTAAACTTTAAAATACTGATATGCTAAAAAAGGCATTTGGGGGTACTCACAAAGAACCCTGCATTTTATTATCAAACATCATTGAAAATTAATTCTTTCGAAAAGTTCTAGCTAGCACTATACCAGCAGCTAGCTTCACACCTGAAAGGGGCGATAATTTGAGTTTAAACGGAATTTGTCCAATGGCCATAGCAAAGTAGTTAGTCAATTTCATAACAAAAATAAGCATAACATTAAGATACAATCGAAGTCCAAACAATTCGAAGCTAGCAGTGATTTCACACATTATTTCGTTCTGCTTTAAGTCCAGGGAACCGAACATGTAGCAAAATGTGTGCATTTATTGGACTTTCCATATTATCTTATTTTTAATTCATAAACATAGTTCACTCAGTATCTAAAAACTAATACCTAAGGATAACATGTAATTTCTACTAATCAATCATTATTTTAACATCACAATAATCAATTTTAAGAACATCAAATCAAACCTTGTGTTCAACCCTTACAATATGCATGGATGCAAAAAGATGTTTTCTTTTTGGAGAGGTCAACGTTATACAAATGTGAAATATCTTATTTAACCATTCATGGATAACTGATCTTTCCAAAAGAACTCAATTATATTAATAAAGTCTCTCATTTTCAACCATATTTTCTTTAATCATAAAACGTGATCAGAAACCTTGTTTAAAGAAAACATCAAAACTTGAATCCAAAACTTTATCTATAAAACTCAAAATCCAATTTTATTCGGCCTACCTACATGTTAGTGGTGCAAAAAGATGCTAAATGTTATGAAACAGGAAACTAACACAATATGCCATCATGACTTTCTGGTCTATTTTGTTATAGTTCATATTCATCCCCCCTAAACCAGAAACCAAAGTCAATCTAAGAACAAAAGAAAGCCACCCTTTAAAGGCTTAGAAACAGTCAAAAAGCCATGAAAATTAGAATCAATGCCAGGATCAGAATTACAGTTTCTAAGGAAGAAATGTCTTTAGGAAACAGTTATACTCCTATTTTCCATTTGTTGAATGTTTCTGTTCCTATGTTCCCTTCCATCCCAACACTATCACAAAATACCCCCGGGGGGTTGGAGGCACAAATTAAAAAATACTATAACATGAAAAGGCCATTATGGAACCAATTTACATGTTGCAGACATTCATTCTATTGGAAAACCCCCTAAAATAAGATTCACAGTGGGGTACAAGTATGGACAAGAAGACTTTATACCCTCAAAAGATGAAAAATACAAAAGTTGGCAAGGACCTAGCTATAACAAAAACTCCCTACTATACATCCCAACCATCCTTCCTACTGTCAAATCCCCATTTACGACCATCTAAACTTCCATACATCTCTGAAAATTGCATCAGGCATTTGCTTCTCAATCCATAATGCACATTCGTGTTTCGGCTAATCGCCGCACCTGAAAACTTTGAAGTGTCAATGGCCCAAGTCGGTTTCACATAATCAACAGTCCTCGGTGATGAGCTTGCATTTGCATACAGATAATTTAAGAGCACATCTTCACAGTTAAAAAACCTGTCCACCAGTTCCCTCCCTTGCGCTGCTTCCTTGCTCCAGTACCTCTTGAAAGCTACTTGAGAATCAATAAAAGCTGCACCAGTAAGAATCATGTTGTACCCTTTATGCATCCGTGCGTATTTTTCTCCCCTGTATTTTAAAGGGCTCCCAGCAATAAGCCGAGGATAGAATCCAACAATCCGATCTGGGTGCTGCCGCCACACCTTAAAACCTCGCTCAATATCATCGCATGGCATCATAATGTCGTCATCAAGCTCGAGGACTGCCCGTGTCTTTATCAATGTATCAGCCTTGAACCGATTATTCAGAGAGTTCTTATCCTCTTTCCTGATCCTCACTGGTACTGCAGAATCTAGATCACTCAATTCCGGAGGGACTCCCTTGTTCCACACCACAACTATCTCACGCACAGAAGAGCATCTTGAGTAATGTTTCACATACATTTTCAGATTCCAGAGTCGAGCATCATAGGTCATTGTTAGTAATGTGAACTGGGAATATTGCCCTTTCAAGGGGTAAGGTTCTTCAGAACCGTTACCACCATAAATATTTTTCACTCCTATGCACATCAATCCAACCCCCACAGCAAATATTATAGCTAGAATAAACCTCCTAGCACAGGTATTATGCTTTATCTTACCTCGGAGAAATGTTGGGGCACGGTTCAGGCATCTGCAAAACCGTCTCACTCTTGAAGATAACACATTTGACCTTTCCCACGACAAGAAAGTTAAATTCCTCTTCCCAGAGTTATGAATGAACCAATTGACAGGAACAATACAATTCACAAATCCAAGTAACACGCCCAGTAGCACAATGAGTATAGAAGCAACTGCAACAGAAGCACAGCCAACTGTGAATCTCCGGACTGAATCTCCAGAAGGAACACGATCCCCATCCATGATACCAACCCAGCCACCAGAAGGCAGATGTTGCACATCTAAGTGATGGTATCGAGCACCATTCCAAGCATTACGACCCTTATTTGATTCAACAAAGCCTAAGGGTACTTCAACTTCTTTGTATTCATTACTAGTGAGCGTTTCTATCTTAAAGACACGCACCCGTCTCCCATATGTATCGCCACAGTCTTGACCCGTCCGATAAAGATTTCCTTCATATTTAAATGGTCTGCCTCCATTGCGAGCTCCCAAGCTCTTGTCAATGTTATAAATGGGATTCTTCTTGTGGGGTTTCCAAGGACCGAGAGGCGAATTGCTATACCAAATCTCCAACTGCCCATTTTTCTTGGTGCCAAAACCACTATGATCTGAGCCAAAAAGCCAGTACTTCCCACCATAATTGGTTATAAAAGAATCAACAAGTGGCTTTTTCATGATGACCTTTTCCAATCTCCACTGCAAAGGAAAGTTAACTGCACGGTAGATACGAAGATCTCCCTTCTGGCTGCCCTCAGGCATCATATATATCTGAGAAGTTACAAACAAGCAAAAAAAATGAATATTATAAAAACTAAAATTCAACCACAATAATTAGTTTGAGAAGTAGAAGTGTATTAGACAAGTTCATGCGCATCTTATATAACTAAACATACACATTTTTCTTAGGAATACCTGGCCATCATGCTCAAAGACATAAGGATAAGAAAGATGCCAATCCTCATCCAAGGCAATTCCCAGTTGTTTCCATGTTGCTCCCTTGTTGGTACTTTTAGAAACTCCAATATCACCTTGCATAGTAATTGAATTTTTTGTCTCATAGAACAGGTAAAAAGTATTTCCCTGAATTGCAATGGCAATATGAGTGAATAGGTTCATGCTGATTATCCATATAGAAAACAAGAAACTTCAAAGCTGTAGACACCTCAAAATGGGATATTGACCCATTTTCAATTATATATCTCAACACTCATGTATCATCTACATTGACATTCATATTTTTCTTTGTGCACATGGGAATATTATAACCTTTTAATAACTATACCTTTTTATTTGGAGACCATTTATCAAGTGTTGATCATACAAACTCAGATATATCAGATTGACAAGACAACAAGTTGACACTATGGAGTATGGACACATAAGGTCGATAGATACAGATTGTGTAATGCATAAAAAAATTTGTTGCAGTCTTAATGATGTCAGAAGCACAGATAAACTGAACAGTAGTTTAGCAGACAATTTTTTACGAGCAATAGAAATGAGGGGGGCAAAGTAAAAAATGATTCTATCTATTTCAAAATTATACTGCTCAAAGAGTAAACTTCCACGGATACTTTGAATGGCACAAATCATTTGTTCAATAGAAATTTCACCCTGTTCTCCAATATTAAACCTAAATCATTATATTTTTCCCTGACAATACTACTAAAAATATTTTTCCTACAATGGTGGGAGCATTGTGCATTGGGCTTCTCTTTTTAGAGACACTTACAAAAAACTAAACACTTCAAATGACCACCATGCATAATAAGTGTCCATCCTACTCCTTAGAAAAGCACTTCAACTTCAGATTACCTTCTGATTCATCATTGTTCATAAATTTAGAACAGAATTTCAAAGGGAAAATTGATTTCCAGCTATTCACACAGTTTATTTCCTTCTCAAAACAAAATATGATGGTCAAAAGGAAGTAAAATCAGATTGGCAATAAATCATGTATAAGAACCCTATGTTTAATCAAAATGTGAATTAAAAGAATAAAATATAGATTTTGGAACAGTTGTAGACACTCCCTATCATTGAATCTACTCCAACTAGCTTTATTTTTAATACATACCATGAACAACCAATAGAGCCACTGATTTTTTATTTTACAAAAGAGGACCCCAATTATTTTAGTTATCAACCAAAGGATGGCACTAAAACCCAGAAGGTTTAATAGTTATCCTCTTACAATAAAAAAGAAGGAGAATGCCAAGTGCTACACACTCACACATAGAGATATACAGAGTGAGTAGAAACCCTACTTTTCATGTTATATAGAATAGTAAGAATACTAATATTAGGCACTTAAAAGTACAAGCAACACCCGATGGTTTACCTAATCCTCTCTAGAAGCAAACTTTTCATGTTATAACTTATAAAGAATACTAATATTATTATTAGGTACTTAACAGTACAAAGTACAAAATATAGAATTCCTCTCTGAGTATGACACATACAGAAGCATATCCTTCCTGTTATATAAAATACTGATATTAGCGACCTAACCGTATAAACAACTGATGGTTTTGCTACAAAATCCTCCGAGTATGACACATAGTATACAAAACAACCCTACTATGTCGTAACTTGCATATAAGAGCAAGGCCTTGCAGACAAGAACCAAAAACAGGATGTCACACAAGCCCTATCAAGCCATACATTTCTACCTCATTTCACACTAATAGTTACAATTAGACGTATCCTGACCTCCCTGTCAACTTTTCAACGGCTTCTCACTTAAGTAAACAAGTAGGGAACCGTCTCAAGCAACATATAAAATATTACTTGCATATACATATAGATCCAGTCTCCCAGCCTCAGCCAGAAAAATAAAATAAAATACACTCTACTGCTCTAAGTCAAATTCAAAGCTCCAACCAAGAAATTTTCTCCAGAAACATGCAAGTTAATCCGAGGAAACAATCATAACAATAACATGACGTATTATCTTTCACTGTTACCCTAAACGTTCTAACACCACCAAGCCTCTATCCCTAGAGATTCATAATCATTAACTGAATCCAAACACTGACTCAGCAAACAAAACAGTATGTAAAAAAAAAGAGTAGAATTTTGCTTGTCAAAAACTGCAGATACAGAAGGAATAAAAGGGTAAAGCACTAAAACTATTTCACAGAATCAGAAACACCAGATACATGAAAGAGGGAGGGAGGGAACCACCCCAAGGGTGACAAGAACCTATTATTATTATTATTAATATTAATATATTATTAGTATTATTATTACCTGAATAAAAAGAAAAGGGTCAGCAACGAAATTACTGGGGGTACCAGCATCAGAAACTGAAGCACACGTCACCACAGGATTGGCGACCGGCCAAGCCGCAGTATCATCGTTCGATACATTCGTCTGCACACAATCAACACCATCAGTCACCACCCCACAAAAACAAGCACCCAATTAAAATAATTCATCACCATCACTTCATCAAAATAACAAAAAAAAAATTCCCCACCAAAAAAATCAATTTTTTTTTTGAAATTTCTCTTTCAAAAATGACAACTTTAAGGGAGAAATTAACAGAGACATGCACCGGAAGAAGAGATTTTTGAAACTTACAGCTTCTATCGGTTGAAGAGCGAAAGGGGAGTCACCGTAGAAAATCCCAATAGACCAAGAACCCTCATTGTCGTCACGACAACCGAAAGGGGAGAGAGCGGAGTGCACTGTGGGGGAAAAAGCAAGCCAACCGTAGAGGGTGGCAATGGATCCGAACAAAACGAAACACCCGAAGAAGAAAACGAAACCAGAAGAAAATAACCGCTTGTAGTATTGTTGGTTCTCCAATCTCCACCTACACGAACACTTCACACTCATATCACAACAACTCCCGTTACCGCCGTTCGAACAACCACCTCCCCCGCCGCCGCCCCCGCCGCCGCCAATCTGCCCCGAACCCATCTCGCCTCAGAAATGCTCCGCGCCGCCGGGAGATCTCACACCGCCGTGGCACCGCCACCGCGTTGCAACTCCGTCACCAGCATTTCACACAATCCAACCCGTTTTTTTTTTTAGTTTTTTGGGTCTCTTTTTCTCTCTTCCTTTCTCTCTCTCTTTGCGTGTTTTTCTTTGACGGGGCAAGGTTGTAATTTTGGGAATTATTGTGCGACTGGACCTTCCTTCCTTAACTTGGTGGTCTGCTATGTATATATATATGTGCTGTTTCAGCACTTTAATGTTTTTGAATTTTAAAAGAAAAATATTTATTAATTGGATCATTAATTAATGATTTAAAGTTTAAACATTTATACCTACACCTATTAATATAGGAAATTGGAGTCCTAAAACACTTTTCATCTTCAATTTTTAATAGATTATTATATTCATTATTTTCATTCTTATAATTTTTATAAATTTATTTTAATTATTCAAATTATTAATAATATATTTAAAAATGATAAAATAAATAAATTTTAATATAATATTTTAACTAACATTTTTTAGTAGTTGGGATTTTGTACTTTGATAAAATTTTTAATAAAATTTAAGTATAAAAATTAAAATAAAATTTACAAAATTATAAAAATTAAATAATTTTTAATTTATAAAATTAAAAATATATTTAAGTCTTATTCAATTAAATAATTTTGTCCAACGTTAACTGCGCGCGTAAGGAATTGAATGGCACTCGCTGCCAATGACGACCAGCTGTTGAACCCGGAACGGAAGGAGACGAGGGGAAGCTCTTTCCCACCGGATGACGTAAGCCGCGAGTGAGAGAAGAGAAGAAAATACCATCGTGCAAATAATTTTAAATGTGACAAATTAAAATTAAATATAGCAATATATTAAATATGTATCTTTTAGAAGAAAAAAAAAGTCACTAAGCATATATTCTTTAGAGACATGAAGATTATAAAAAATAAATAACTCAATTATTTACCAATTATATTAGATTATATATACTTAAAGAAAATTCTAGTGACATCACCCATCTATTTTAACAAGTTAATACATCACTTATGAAATAAAAGTAAATAGTTTAGTGTAAGCAAACTATATTCAGACTCTAATAATTATGAAATATTTATTAATTTTATAATAATTATGTTAAAATTATATTTATCGTGATTTATTATTAGTTGACCTGTATATATAAATTAAACTCACAAAATAAAGACATGTTCTGAAAAAAATTACTTTAACATTACAACATTAATAATTTGTAGATATGGTAAATATTTATTAATTTTTTATAATAAATATAAATACTAACTTTATCATTTTGCAGCTTAACTTGTATTGTTTTCTTCATAAAATTTAAACTTAATATTAATAAATTTATCATATTTACCATCATACTCAACTGACTGGCATATTTTCATTGGTTGTTTAATTTATATATCCACGAGAATGTTGGATTTTTTTTAAACGATGCTAAAAAAAATATATTTATGATATTGTAAAAACTTTTTTTATGAAAATAACATAAAATTATATATATATATATATATATATATATATATATATATATGAGTTAATCACTTATACAC